TTTTCTTTGCTAAAACTCGGGAAGTAGCCGTAAAAGATAAAATCATGTAAGTTTGTTAATTGTAAAATTATTTATTCTCTAATTTTATTAATTATTTTAAGTTACTATTAGTATTAACTAAAAACCGATCCATCCTCTTCCCTCCCATTTCCCTTCCAATGTAACCCACATTTTTCCTCCCATTCTTCGGCCACTTGTCGACTCTTGTGACTGCAATTTGGTTTCAAAACATAAGGACAAGTTGGAAGATAAAACAATTTAAAAAAATAAAAAAATAAAAAAACAATGTGCTCAAGAATCAATTTGTAGCAATGTTATATCCCACGATCCTATCTAGATTCAACCTCAAGAAATATATAGATCCGTTTCAGATTAAGAAATACATTGACCCATCTATAGAACTCATCCATAAGACTAACCTTCACCATACTTTGATCGATCTATCTTGAACTAATGAAGAATGTTGCTTGTTAGAAAATGGGATAGGAAAGAAAGGTCGGGTAATTTCATAAATCATGCATGGTCGGTTTTTGTATTTATATTTCTCCCCTACAATACATGGGTACATGGAAATCCAACTTGGGATAACCTGTAAGAAACACTCAAAGTTTTAAGTACAAAAACATTATGTTTGTTTTTTGAGAGTATGTAGATTGTTAGATATAAACATCATCTTCTGACACGTATCACAATATTGTCCATTTTGGGTATCGGACAGGAAAACTTACCAGGAGGTCACCCATTCTGAAATAAATGATCTCACCCGAATACTTAACTACAAAGTTCTTATAGGATCTAATGTCCTCACAACTTAAACACATTGTCACAGGGAAGATATATATATATACACACACATACACACACCTTAAGGAGTGTTTATTTCTCCTACCCCACCGATGTAGGATCAACCGAAATTTACTTGGTAGTTGAGAATACACATTGAATGGCGTGTGATTTGTTAGAGGATTTTATCTCGCTTCTTGAAAATGCCCATTTACCCATGTTCTTAAATCTTGAATGATACCGAGTGAACCTTTTCCAATTTGTTTCTCTATTTTCATTGAATTTCCGTGCTTTGGTGCTAAACATGAGCAAAATATACCGGAATCTAACAAGTAACAAATACAACATGCATTCAAGATCCACAACTAGATAGATACATTTATTCTGTTGATAAAAGATAATGTAATCCACATAAACAAACAAACAAATCTTATCAAATAGTGTCTAGGAATGAAGGAATATATACAATACATGATACAGATAGAGACACGAATCCCTTACTTAATGTACATGTTCACCATCATAAGTCATAAGTCATAATCCTCCTCCTTGTGTGACAATGATAAAAGCTCCACGAGTTCCATTCTATACTCCAACCCTCTCAGATAATGTCCCACCAGCATGCACCTTAAGTTAACATATTATATTTTGTTATATACTTTAAATAAATTAATTAATCCAAAACTCGTTCAAAAGTAAAGAGGGATAACCAAAAGAGTAGGCGAGCTAAATAGTCCCTAGTCAAAGAAACAAGGGGCTGAAATTGAATAGAAGTGTTCTCCTTCTCCTTCTCCTTCTCCACAACATCATGATCATGATCATGATCACTGCTTCCAATTCCAATTGATGTTTGTGATTGTGAATGCACTTTAGGTGAAAGTGTTGCAAGAAGACCATGAACAATTGAATGAATTGTTTCTTTCAGGTCTGCAGATGTTGGTTCTGACAGCTCAGCCACCTGTTGTTACTTAAATAATAATAATAATAATCACTCACAATTCACAAATATTAAAACCTTTTCATGAAACAATTATAACCTTTTCTGGTTCTAAAGATCTTAAGTAGTCCAACAATTCATTCTTTTCTTCCCCAACAAACTGTTGCATCTGCAGAGCTGCATTCTTCCTCTTCACCTCATGAAGCTCCTGGAATCGTTAACAAATTTTTCATTTTAAGTCAAAAGGGTATTTTGGTCATTTGGTAATTAGTAGTCTAATATTAGTCATTTACCTTTTTGACAGAAAACAAACGGGATTGCAGTTTCAAGATATATTGTTGAACTTCAGGGGTCATTTGACCAAAATCTGGAAACTCGGATGGATTTTCGTTAGTTTCTTCAGATTTATGTGTATTTGTTGTTATATTGTTGTGTATTAATTTTGAATCTTCAATTCCAATTGTCTGTTTGTGATCTGTAGTTTCTTCATATGTATCAAAGTTTCTCTCCAAACACAGCCTATATTCAGCATTCCTCAATGTATACCTGCAATACAACAATTTTAAATTCCTAAAAATGAATATAAAGATTAAAAAAAAGAAAGAAGTAAAAAAGGGTAATTAGTAATTACCCAGTCATTAAAGAAGAAACCAATAATTTGGAAAGTGGTTTCCATAAAAGCTTCAATTAAGACTTGAAATTGGTCTGAAGGTAGAAGTCCCAACATTCCTGATATAGTCCTCTTCATGGCATCAATGGTGGTAGGTGGAACATCTCTTTGGATGATGCTCACATCCAATGGCTCTATTTCTTGAATCAATTTCAAGAGCATCGATTTCTAGTAGGAATATGCAATAGTCACTTCTTTTTTTATTTATATAAGTATATAAGTATATATAATAACTACATATGTATCATAAAATGACATATGTTAAGGAGATGAGGTTAAATGTTTAACTGTTTAAAAAAAGGTTTTTCATTGGAGAAGATTTGTAAAGATGGGTTTTTGATTTGGAAAAAGTCAAAAGTCATTGAATAGGTTAGTTAGGTTAGGCTTTTTGCATGTTCTAAATTTGGTATTCCAAATCAAGTGAAAGCCTAAATGTACCAAATTCAATCTACATCAAAGCATATAGCTTTCCCACACCAGATTTACATAAGAGTCAATTACATTTATCTAACATCACATGTTCCAGGATCATTTAAGCTGCAAAACCTTCCAAAAAATGGAAATACCCTCAAGATTTGGTAGACTGATGGCAAACTTTCTGCAAGCAATGATCTTTTGAGTTTTTGATCTCTGTTAGATCATGAATTTTGGGTCATTTGGCCACAATCACTTGGTAATAGTTTGAATCCCTATTATAAAGAGGCAAAGTGGTTCTCTATCACTGCCTGAGCTAATATGAATGTTCATAAACATACTATTGGATGAACATGAAGAAGAAAGCTGAGCTAGATGTTTGTTCTTTAGGTAAATTTGGCACTAGCCTATTACATTACAATTAAATTCAGTCCATTAGTACTAACTTGGGTAAAAAACCATGCACTTACCATCCAATTTGGTCTTTTATTCTTCCCGAAAAGAAAAACTATGATCCTCAACAGTTCTTAATTACTAACCTTAATTCGATCTAATCCCACCAAGAAATTCAACTAGTACATAATCGTGAAGTAAATCCTATGTAATGCAATTGAAATAAGTAAGTCGCGAAAAAGTTATAACAGGCAACGTATCAATAAATCAAGCAAAACACTGATTTAGCTCTCGGTCAGTAACCTCGTCGATTAAGCCAACTAAAATCACCAAATTCTGAAACGTCTAGCAATTTAAGACTCAATTAATCCAATCCAGTCAACCAATACGTGCAATTCAATAACTTGAATAACAAAACTAACCTTTGAGCGTGAATCCCCTTCATGTGCCCTAATCCCGTCGGACGAAGCAAAAACTAGGGTTTTCACGTTTATCAAATCTTTGGGAACTCGGCGAAAAGAAACGCTTGGAAATGATACGGACTGATTACGACGAAGAACGAGTGAAGAAGAAGAAGAAAGAGGAGGGCGAGAAGAAGCACACGAGAGAAAAGAGGCGACAAAGGCTGCCATTAACAGACACCCTTATGCACTCTCTTTCCTACCACTTGTTGAATCTGTGTGCAGCGTTGAACATAGTCATGATATATAGCAACGATAAAAGTATTGGAAACGAACGACATGAACCGAACAAAGGAAACGCGGTAATCAGGATTTTCGTGGGAGCAAAGCGTCGAACAGTAGGAGTGGGAGGGGAATCGCTCCATAAGATAAGATTACAGTTATGGGCTGGGCTTTTGGGGTCTGTGAAACTTTTCTTTATAATTTCACCAAACTGTATACAAAGCACGAATGGGTTCATGGTATACGTGGCCACGGAAAACCGTCGTGCACACGTCCTTCGAGTTCGTGGTGTATACAGCAGAGAGCAACGGCCAATTGAATTTGATTCGCAATTTACTGCTTCTAACGGCTAGTTTAGGTTGTGTTTAGTTATGGAAAAACAGTTTTCATTTTTCATTTTCATTTTTCATTGGAAAATTTTAAAAACGCGTTTAGTTAAAACTTATTCATTTTTCATTTTCAGTTTTAGAAAAACTAGAAAATGTGTTTAGATGTGTATTTTTCTATCGGTTTTCATTTTTAGAAAACGGTAGCGGTGGTAGGGTGTAGGTGGGGGCGGCGGCGGTGGTGGTGATGACAGGCGGTGATGGTGGCGGCGGTAATTGTGGCAGTGGTGGTGATGGCGGCGGCGGCGGTGGTGGTGGTGCTAGTGATGGGGTGGTGGTGGTGGTGGTGATGGTGATGGTACGTCGGTGATTGTGGTAGTGGTGTTGGGTGGGTGGGTGTGCGAGTGTGTGTTTGTGGGTGTGGGTGTGTGTGTGTGTGTTTGTGGGGGTGGGGTGGGGGTGTGTTTGTAGGGTGTGTGTTTGTGGGGGTGGGGATGGGTGGGTGTGTGTGTGTTCGTGTGTTTGTGGGGGTGTGGGTGGGTATGTGTGTGTATGTGTTGGGGGGGGGGGGGTTAGGGGTGCTAAGGTGGGCGTAGGTAGAGGTGGATGGGGTGGGAGTGGGTGTGTGTTTATATTTTAGAAAAAATTTGGAATTAGAAAAATGTAGAAAACAATGATTATTAGTTTTTCCAAAAATTTTCACCTTCTTTGAAATTTTAGAAAACAGAAAATTTTTATTTTCCGTGAAAAATTTAGAAAAATAGACGAACTAAACGCGTTTTCAAAATTCTCATTTTTTTTGGAAATTTTTTCCGGAAAACGACCAATTTTTCCGCAACTAAACGCACCCATAGGTTTTTTTTTACCTAAATAAAAAATCATTATAAACCTACTATATAAATACCACAATACACATTCTTCTATCTCACACAATTCTTCTCTCACAATCACATTTGTGTTTCTTGATATTTCAAAAACCAAGGCTCCCAAAATGCAAAATTGGCCGGAAGAGGAAGAAGAGAAGTTAGCAGTAGCATGGGTGTTGGTTTCTAGCGAGCATATCAATCCAGTCAAATAGGTATCCAACAATCAAATTGCACCCACACATTCTCTCTCATCTCACCAAAATGTTAACGAGGAAAGTGCAACGAGCCCCCTAGCGAGCGATAAAGGACGGTATTTGTGTGTTGCTAGCGAGCATAACGAGTGGGTTTAACACCCCCACTCCTCTTAGTCTTATCCGCCCAAATCATATCATTTTATTTGGCATAATTATTGTTTAGTTATAGTTGTTGATTTGTTGGAGGAAAAATTGTATATAGTATTTTTATCTAAAATCATCTAGTAGTGTACCCTTTCGGTGGACGGGTTGACCAATGTAAAATCATAGATCGATTTTACTTTCTTTTAAAATATCCTATTTTTATTTGTTTCCATTATAGCACTGTGTTATGTCATATCTACCCGATAAACAAAAAATCAACATTAATACCAAAATTTTTGCAATAAAGCTTAAATCCGCCATCTCAATTTTCAAATCCCAAATTCATCATAAAATAAAAAAGGAAAGAAATCTCAAAAGAAAAACCTCATCGAAAAATAGTATGCATGGAGAACATTCCCTTGCATGTCTAAATATTGTATGAATTGCCAATTCACTCTGACCAACATATTTGTTCAGAAGCTTAGGACCCTTCACAGTAAAATTTATAACATCATTAATAATGAAGAAAAACATAATGCGAGTAAAATATCATGTATAATTAGTGAAAAAAACGCTAATATGTATAAAATTTGATCCTGCTTCGTTAGCAACAACTTTGGCAATCAATGTTTTTCCATGACCAAGTGATCCATATAGCAAAAACCCCATCTCCAAATCAACTCCATATTTCTAAAAATATAAATTGTATGAAAAAGATTAAACATAAACAGTTGAGAAGGCTAAAAGAGAATATCTAGATACAACATCTTCAGTTGATTAATTATTAGATAAGCTTCTTCAAAACTATGATACTTGTAACAATAAAGTTTTGACTACCTTGGACATTATAACCCATGGAATTGCCCTTGTAACAACCCAAATTTCATAGAAAAATTTTCATTTAATACTTAGAAATCACATTCATGTTTGTTATCTCAAAAATCCCATTACATAAAATATTGTTCAAAAGATCAGAGTATCCAAAACATCTAGTACGGAATACTGGAGAGTACACGCCAACAAGCCGGGCCCTTGCCCTTAGAACCAGAAGTACCTGAAACACCTAACAAAACTGTAAGCACACGCTTAGTGAATTTCCTAAATTACACAAATCACATAATCATATAATGCCACACACATATACACATAAAACTGCCATGGACACCCTCTATGGTCTTCAACCGAGATGTCATGGGCTACCCCCATGGTCTTAAACCCAAGTGTCATGGGCTCCCCCATGGTCTTTACGTAAACCAAGTAACAATTGATTGCATAATCAAGTGGTCTTTAACCCAAGTGTCATGGGCTCCCCCCATTGGTATGGTGATAAGACTCACCTCAGGCTGCTGAACACAAAAGCTGATCAACTACTAATCCAAAATCTCACACTGAACAAATATACAAAACACCCTAATCAGAATTGGGTCACAACTTAAATAAAGGCTCAACATCTCAACTTAAGGCCCACTATTAAAGCCCAAAAGTCTAACCTACATTAATGGGCCCAAGATCAAAGTCCAACTATAATGGCCCATATGGCCCAATAAGGCCCAATCATGACATACATGCCCCAACTAGAACAAAAGTCCAATAACTCTGAATAGGACCAGACCCAAGGCTGGATAGGGCCCAATAAGTTTGCAAGACCGATAAAGCCCAACTCCACTGTGGTGTGTACGACCATCATACCACACCAGTACGCTTAGCGTACTCGAACCTTTGGCTGTACGCGCTGCGTACGAGACCTTACGCCCATCGTACAACTAGCCTATGCACCAAAAATCTATTAAGCGCTTAATGCTTAAGATTTCAACGTCCAAATTCATATCTGGGACTAATAAGATGTCCTAAGGCATAAAGTTGGCAACTTTATGCCCTTGCATGCCATATGAGTCCCCAATACTTCATTTCTCCCATTAAGACCACATTTGAGACCTTAGACTTATGCATGGTCTCAATACAACCTTCAAGATGGCAAATTTATGCATCAAGCATGCTCAAGGAGCTTAGATCTAACAATCCTAGTCTCCGGAGTTGCTCAACTCACAAGAGAGGGTCCAAGAACCAAAAAGGGACTCCATAGCAAAACCCTAGCTCAAACTAACAAAAGAGATGTCAAGGTTTAAGCTTTTTACCTCCACAAGCTTCCCAATGAGCTCCAAATGCAGGATCCAAGAGCTTTTCCACGACCAATGCTTGCTTCTACTTCTTTATCCTTGATAGAACACCAAAAATGAGGTGTTTGAGGAACTCACAAGCTCAACACACACACACAAAAGATTTTAGGGTTTTAGGGACGTTAGAGAGTGATGGAGGCTGGTTTGGGTAAGGTGCACATGACTTAAGGACATTTATATAGGTCACAAATCCGAATATTAGGGTTTTGGTCTTCAGCCACAAACGCCCCGCGTACCCCTTGGTACGCCCAACGTACGTGGTACACCTCCGCGATCAACCCTCCCCAGTATGCTAAGCGTACCTCTAAGTACGCCCAGCGTACAAAGGGACCAATCATGCACTAAAATCTCGCTCTAAGGGAAAGTAAGGTAAATACTTGGATCCCGAACGTTACAAATCTCCCCCACTACAACTAGACTTCGTCCTCGAAGTTTGCTTATGCAAAAAGATCTGGATAATGCTTTCTCATCTCGTCCTCCGGCTCCTAGGTCCATTCGGAGCCTCTCCGGTGCTGCCATTGCACCTTCACTAGCTTCACCACTTTGTTCCGAAGGGCTTTAGTTTTCCTATCCAAAATTTTCAATGGGATTCTCAACATAGTTCAGGCTCTCATCCACTTGAATATCATACAATAAAATGACTGTAACCTCATCTGATACACATTTCCGGAGCTGAGACACATGGAAGGTGTTATGGATCTGACTGAGCTCATCAGGAAGATCCAGTTGATAAGCAACCCTACCAACCCGAGCAGAAATCCTGAATGGACCAATGAACCGGGGCCCCAGCTTGCCCCTCTTCCAAAACCGGATGATACCCTTCCAAGGTAACATCTTCAACAAAACAAAATCTCCCACCTGAAACTCGAGATCCGAACGACGCCGGTCAGCATAACTTTTCTGTCGGCTCTGTGCAACCCTCAGTCTATCACGCACCTGCTGAATCAATTCAGTGGTCTTAAGCACCACTTCGGTGCTTCCCATGACTTGATGCCCGACCTCACCCCAACAAACTGTAGTCCTACACCTCCGACCATACAACATCTCAAACTGTGATCGGTCAATACTAGCATGATAACTATTGTTGTATGATTGTTGTATGAGAACTCTGCTAGTGGAAGGTAAGTATCCCAACTCCCTACGAAATCCAAAACACATGCCTAAAGCATATCCTCGAGCGTCTGGATCGTCTACTCGCTATGACCATCAGTCTGGGGGTGGTAGTAACGCTCGTTTCAAGTATCATTTAATTCTCAAATTTTAGGGTTTTGGACTGGAACTCGATGAGTTGCGGAGCTCCAACTCGTCAAGTAGAGATCATTTCGGACGCGGGACTTAGGGTCTACTCGACGAGTTGGAAGGCCCCAACTCGACGAGTAGACGTTGTAAAGGAAAACCCTAATTCTTAGGGTTTGTACCCTATTTAAAGAACTTATGGTTCATTTGTGGCCTCCCTC